AGGCTCAGACGGTGACTCTGACCCAGGCGGCGGCGTCCTCTCTGGCCCAGGTGCAGATGATTCCTGCGGGGTCTGCAGCGGCGCAGGCGGTCCAGCAGAAGCTCCTCCAGCAGCAGGTGGTGACCGCAGCCAGCTCCCCCCAGATCCAGACGCCCCCCCCCCACAGCCCCGCCCAGCAGCCTGCCGACGCCGCGGTGCAGCCCGCTCAGCCCCAACAGCCCGCCAAGGGTCAAGCTCGCCAGGGGGGCATCAGGGCCAAAACCCCCGCCAAGCCCAGCAGCTAGGAGACGCACTCTCATGAATCTGATGTGTTTTCCTGCAGTACAGATGTGAGGCGTTGTTAAGGATCCCACAGCAGCTAAAGCAAGAGACAGACATCACGTTGTTAATCACACCCAACCTTTACCTCACTTCAACCATAGACTAACTGTTCCACAGGATCATTTCAGTGTTCAGACCTCCAGGAAGATCAACCACAGCTTCTTGTGGGATCCATAAAGTTGCTGAGTTAACTTTTGTTACTGCTATTCTTTATTCGTGTCGTGAAATGAGGAAACGTCTTTCCCCCTCAACAACTGCCCAACACATGAAAGGACAGACACAGCAGTCCTGCCTTCAAATGATGATTATATTATTACTCAAGAGAAATCTGAGGCCGAGGCTTGTGGGTAATTCCTCGTTGATATTGAGCTGTCCATTAGAATAAGTGTATTCATAAATAGTCCCTTTTATGTCTAATTCCCTTGTTGTCTATAGAAACTGAATGGAGAATAATGCACGTTCCTTTAGTCATTTGTTTTTTATTGCAGCAAATACACTGTAAACATGTACTTTAGTATTTTGTGTTTTGTCATGAATTGTCCTTTTTTATTGATGTCAAGGAAAAAAAAAATGTAAATATCAATGAAAAACATTTGTACTTGTAAAGTAGTCGTGTTTTCATTGGGTTTTTTCAGCCTAATTGTAATAAAGTGTTTTGTTTTTATATACAAATTCATCTTTTTTCCTTTGATTTTTTTTCATTAAATCCGTTGTAAGTACTTTGAAATCTTGTGGATTCTTATAACACATTCCCTCGTTTGATATAGTCCCTAAAATGGTTGTTCCAGAAAAAAACTGGAGGATGTCATCTTATTTGATAATTGGTGCTCTATTAATAGCTATTCATTATTTTTGTATGACTAAAGGAACTGGAGGCAGGCACGTTGGGCGCAGCAGGATTCAGCTGAGCAACAAAGTGAGTCAAACGCTACGGGACAGTTTAGGTTTAGTATGCAGTGAATGTTCAGCATTTAGTCTCTACACTTAATGTCTTATTTTTGTTGTCATTTATCTATTTAGCCTGAATTGAGCAATGTTTGTCAAATTGAGATCAAATATCTCTTTCACCATAATTTTACTCATAAGGGTTACACTGTGTAGAAGTCAGTTTCAGGTTGGATATTCGACAGACATTCAAACTAGTCTTCTAACACAGTGGTTACCAACCTTTTTAGTCTCGTGTCCCCTTTGAGCTAGTCGCAACTCTATAAGAACCCCCTCACTCATCTGGTGATTTTCCTACATTTGTTCTTCTGTTAAACTCTTTGTAATCTTATCAAACCCAACTACTCCTTCGATGAAAATCACTTGTATAGCTCACCCTTAATACAAATGTTTTTAAACTTGACATTAACACTAATTGTCAGTGAAAGAAAATAATATTTAGACTCACTTCTAGCAGTTTCAGCATCTTTTGTTAAGAGCTTTAATGAGTCACTTGAGTTTGCTTGTCTTTCATAAGCTTTGATAGTTCTGTGGGCAGGACACCAGGATTATATGGAAATATATACTGCAATCCCTAATCTTTATACTTACCCCCTGCAATCCCCTCAAGTACCCCGAGGGGTCCCCGTACATAAACCCACATCTGAGCCCTCGTTTACCACAGCATTTCACTAATGGGCGGTCATACAATATTATTTGCACAAAAACCAAAGGTCATTTCAAATTGTCCAGACTAATTGCCTTAAAAAGGAGAACAAAATTATTATGAATGTGTTCGCGCATTTTCTAGATCTTCTGATCTTTTTGATGCCATGTGTGACCTACTGACTCCAAATCGATGCTGCATTAGTACACCTTCTAGTTTACATCAATATTTTCATGAAAATATTTTGTTATGGATTTTCGTGCTTTATAACAAAGTTAACTAACGTTTATTGCAGCCTATAGGCCTACGCTTTGAAAGGCAAGTAGTTATCAATTTATAAACTCGAGGAATTTAAAAGTAGATACAAAATCAATTTGTTGACCATTTATGGCAAAGATTATTTGCAACAACGCTGGTCTTACTGTTCCTGAAAGGGTAAGAAAACATGTTTCTGCATTTAAAGCAAGACGCAGTTGACTAAACCGTTCTTGTATGCCTATTTTATAAAATGCATACTAAAGATTCTTATAATCTTTTGCGGGAGCTGATGTGTATAATGGTGTCATTTGCAAACTTGCTTCAAATCGGGAAAAAACATTTAAACAAAATGTGCACTCTCTTGCTACAAAAGGTGATGCAGATTATTCCACTAGGGGGCACTGTTGCATCAGTATCGCCCTGCCTCTTAGGAAGAAGACATTACTACACTGTGGTTTCAGTTCATTGGCACTCTGAGGCCGGTCCACATTCAGCCCTAAACGCCTGAGACAAGGGAGGTGAGGCGGAAGAGTGGCTGAGAGACGAGCAGATGGCAGAGATGGTTCCTCTGGCCTGGACATCACTCTAGCTTGCCCAATGTTTCTTATTTGTATTCAGAAAAATGGGCATTGTAAACAGGAGTGGTTGTTTTTTTCCTGCATGATGTGAAGGTCAGAAACAAGAGAAGCTATAACGGCCCTGAACCTTTGTAACTGAATACATATACTACTGTACTCAAGTATAATTTAACATTCTCTGCCATTTTATACTTCTACTCCCTGTATCACACAGGGAAATATTTGCTTTTTTGAACAACTAAGGTTTCCATTTACTTTTTACATACATAACATGTCGTGTTTACATGATATACATGTAGGCCTACTACTAATCTACTCGATAGTGCACATAGAATGCTAAATGTACTCTATATTGACTTATACCAAGATAGCAAAGAAAACCTCCCGTATGTATTTGTTGGCAGAGTTGGGAAGAAACTAAGTACATTAACTTAAGTACAGTACTTAAGTACAATTTGAGATACTTTTACTTTACTTGAGTATTTCCATTTGATGCTACTTTGTTCTTCTACTCCACTACAGATCAGAAGCACTAATAAATATAACAAAACATATAATATATATTATTCTAAAATGGACCAATCTGCATAATGAGTACTTTTACCTTTGGTACTTTAAGTACGTTTTGTACTTTTAATTGAGTAATATTTTTGAATAAACTTTTACTTGTAACAGAGTATTCTTACTCTCTGGTACTTCTACTTTTACTAAAGTACGAGATCTGAGTACTTCTCCCAACTCTGTCAACTTTACATATACAAATTCTATGTCAATCTAAACGAGCGCTTTACTGAATGGATTCCTAGGTTCATTTTCTAATAGAGAAAATTTCACTAGATTCATAATATAATAACAGACGAGAAT